GCTCTCGTCGCCTGGCTGTCAGAGTCAGAGAGCAGCCAGAAGATCCTCTCCATGTTGTAGGGCACCTGAGTGGAGAGGCAGGGTCCTAGGCCACCTCATTCCAACCCTTACCCAGTCCCGCTCCACCAGCGGCTGGCCAGCCCCGCTCTTCTCCCCACAGGCCCACCTGAATGTCCATAGCGGATGCCAGGGTTGGCTTGACAACCTCACACAGAGAGAAGTCTCCCTTCTGGACAGTCCTGTGGATGATGTCATTGCGGTTCACGGCCACAACCAGGCGGATGGGCAGGCCCATCTTCTGAGCAATGCACCCAGCTTGGGACAAGACGAGAAGACACCAGGATTTTAGGACAAAGGCAAAGAATTACTTTTAAACTGAGCTTAATAAAAACAAACTTTTGTGCTGCTTGAAAATGAGAATAGAGAGAGGAGATGGGCAGAGACACAGGATGGGGGAGAGGGAGACAGGGAGGGGGGTCACTGCGCCCTGCCTACCAGGGAGGAACACACATATAAAGTTTTGTGAGGCAACCCCCTCACTGCAAAAGAGGAAATGAGGTCACCACAGGCCGAATGTCTTGCCCGGATCCTCCCAATCTGCAGAGTTGAGGTCTCTGCATTCCACCTTGCTTTAGGGAGGGTGTCTAACTGGTCACTGCTGGCACACCAGGCTAGGGGCACAGCTTCGGGCCTTCTCCTGTCTCTGTCATCTTGCTGTGGGAGCACAGAGATGACAGATGTGTGCTGCCACGCCCAGTTTCATGCCTGAAGATCCAAACTCAGACTTGTGCAGCAAACACGTCACCTACTGGGTCCTCTCTCCAGGCCCTTACTTTTTGGAGGGGGCGGGGATGTCCACCAACATCCCCCTTAATTTTGTTAAGTCCACTCACTCTCTTATGTCGCTTGATCCTCATGGAAACATTAGTGTCCTTCGGAGACTTAGGAAAAATGGAAGCTCAGGAGGGCCCGAAGACTTAAGGTGGAATGGGTCCCCAGGAGAAACGCCAGACGGGAATGTCCTCTACGGGTACTGCCCAGGCTTTACTTTGTGCCAGGTCCTATGCAGGGCACAGCTATAGGTGGCATTGCTAGCCAACAATGACATGAAAGGGAAGCACAGGGTAGCACCCTCTGAGTGGTGGGGAAGCCAGCCTTCCTCACCTAACTGCCAGCCCGTCACCTCTGTCTTCCCATAAGAAGCCCAGGAGTCTCCCAACCACTACGATGCTTTCGCCATCCCATTCATCCCTAGTGCCTAGAGAAGCAAGGCCAGAGACAGAGCTACCACAAACACTAACGCCGTTGCCTCCTCAAGAGATGGCAGGGATGGCAGCCTCTCTGGCTGTCAGTTTGGCTCACTACCAGCCAGCTGTGGAAACAGGGGACAGCTAGCTTCTCTGTGTCCGGTTCCTCCTTCTAAAATGCTAAGAACAGTACAGGCGGACCCTGAATACAGGGCTTCTGCATCTACAGACTCAACTGACCACAAACCAAAACTATCCAAAAGAGGGTGTGGTGATACACACTATAATCCCAGCATTTGGGAAGCTGAGGCAGGAGGATGGAGACTTCCATGGCTAGCCTGGGCTATACTGAATTCAAAGGCTGCTTGAGTTACATAGTGAAAACCTTTCTCAAGAAAAAAAATTCACTTGTATTAAACACATTCAAACTCTTTCTTGCAAATACCTCTCTTTTTTTTTTTTAATTTGGTTTTTTGAGACAGGGTTTCTCTGTGTAGCTTTGTGCCTTTCCTGGAACTCTCTTTGGAGACCAGGCTGGCCTCGAACTCACAGAGATCCGCCTGCCTCTGCCTCCCGAGTGCTGGGATTAAAGGCGTGCGCCACCACCGCCCGGCCTGCAAATACCTCTTAAAGAACAATGGCCATTTAAATAACATTCACATATTGTATGTTATTCCACATCATCTAGAGGTGATTTAAAGTACTCAGGTGTATGTTCATAGGTTATATGCAAACACCATGCCATATTATATAAGGGACTTGAACATCTGCAGGTTTTGGTATCTGTTGGGGTCCTAGAACCAATTGTCCATGTACACCAGGAGACAGCATTGTCCTAGTCGCATGAAATCATTAACCCATGAAAACCACTTAGAACCATGAAAACCACCTGGTGCATAGTTAATGCTTGAGAACGTTTGTTAGTATTCGGTGCCAGGCAGCTGGACAGCACCATCTCTGTGCAAAGGTCACGTGCACCCAACAGTCAGACTTGCTCCCCACAGGCGGCTCTGAGCACGTGACCAGCCAGCCTTTACAGCAGAGGAGTTGAGTCTGAGGAACTCTCCAACAACCGTTCAGCTGGTAAAGGGCAGAGCCAGGGCCAGACTGCTGAGGTCAGAGTCCTTTCCGCTTCACACGGCCCCAGGGTAGTGAGAACAGTGTGCCACAGCACCAAGCGGGTGTCCCTCAGCAGGCAGTGGGCGGAGCTGGGAGTAAAGTGCAGATTTTGGGAAAGGACACTGAGCTATGTTTGGTGGTGGAGCCTTGACGTCTGTCTATTGGCCTCTGTGCAAGTAAGCACAGGCTAGGCTGCTGAAACTCGCAGGGTTGAGTCCTCAATCTCCCTCCTCTGCAGGACCCTGGAATGTTCTGTCCCCAGCTGCTCCAAGTCAGAAGAAATCTAGGGCATCCCATGTGGTTTTCTGTCGTCTTTAGAATAAAACACAACCTTCTCTTGCAGCACATTTGTAGGCAAAAGATAGCTTGAAAGACCAGGTACTTTCTGGAAAGTCCATTTGCATCCCAGGGTCTCTCACCTGCAAGGTTACCCCCGGCCCCTGTAGGCACGACCACCTCCACAGCGGGCAGGGGGTGTGTGTCCAAGGAGGGTGCACACTGGAAGTAAGCGAAGAAGTGGTGTGCCATCTGCACCAGGACCCGAGACCAGTTGATGGAGTTCAAGCTCATCAGGTTGTGCTTCTGGACAAAAGGCACATCCGCAAACACGGCCTTGATGGGCTCATCAAGTTCATCACTGTTCCCTTCCACTGGCAAGGAGAGAGAATATAACAGCTCTCAGGAGCAGGAGAAGCCCCCGAAGTCACGCTGGGCTCCGCCGAGGCCCTCCCAGGCGGGGCCCATCCTCTCCCATCTGGTCCAGCCTTTGCTTCCCTCACTTTCAACATGGCTTGGCCTGGCTTTCCAGGCTCCGTGTCAGCTGCTTGGGGATAGAATGTAGGTCACTTCTTCTTGTGACCCTGAGTATTTGTCCTCACTTGGGAGAAAAAAAAATGTGGTCAGAAGCATTTCCAATGGTCCTGCATTCTATAACATAAGACATAAAATGTCAGCCTTCTGGGCTATTGGGAAAAGAATTCCCCTCGTATTCTAAGTCTTCACTGTTCCACAAAGGGTATGTCTTCACTCTTCCGGAAAGAAGGAGAGAGTGTTACCCAACTGAAAGATGTGAACTCCATTGGGGCTGCGGGGATGGTCACTTCTCCCCTGTGGGTGAAGTGTGGGTGTCCTGACCCTGCTCCTGTGTGCTAGGTAAGCTTGCTGGGCAGAACTTGGCCCTGAAGCTGAGTGTGTACATTGGTTTAATTTGTGTGGCGAATTATTGGGTAAATTATCCACCAGTCTAACATATTAACACCCCAGTCTAGCTGCCTCAGTAATTGTACTAGATTGACCCTTACTGTTGTTGGTCTTTTTACTCTTTGGTCTTTGGCTCTTATTTCTTTGGGGGCCCTCCACTCAGCTCCCAAATAAATCACATGGAGTCTTATTCTTTCTTATGAATGCCCGGCCTTAGCTTGGCTTGTTTTTAGCCAGTCTTTCTTAACTGAAATTATCCTGTCTACTTTTTGCCTCTGGGCTTTTACCTTTCTCTATTCTATATTCCTTTCTTTACTTTTTACTCCATGGTTTGCTGTCCAGCTGGGTGGCTGGCCCCTGATGTCCTCCTCTCCTCCTTCTTTTCTCACTCCTTGATCTCTTCTTCCCAGACTTCTCCTCCTAGTTATTCTCTCGGCTTGGTGGCCCCGCCTATCCCTCTCTTGCCTTGCTATTGGCCATTCAGCTCTTCACTAAACCAATCAGGTGTTTTAGACAGGCAGAGTAACATAGTTAAACAAATGCAACATAAAAGAGTGCAACACATCTTTGCATCATTAAACAAATATGCCACAGCATAAACAAATGTAACACACCTTAAAATGATATTTCACCACACCTTACCTGATACCTGTACTTAACTCTGCATTTGGATCCATACCTCAAGGTGGGTGGGTGTGCAGGTTACTGGGGGAAGTACCAGGACGGCCCTTCAGGCTGTGAATCCTTCTCTCCTCATCACTGTATAGCATCAGTGAAGAGAGGAACCATCTGTAGTCCATGTGCAAACCCCAAGCAGCCTGATCCAGTGGCCCCACTTCTTGGCTAAGGCCAAGCCAATCTGTGCCTGGCATGCCCGTGGGGTCAGGAGTTGGGTCCAAGATGGATATATGAGTTCAGGTCACTAAGACTCAGAAGGACATTTGCTGGGGTGCTAGAGAAACCACCCCTGCTTTTAAGGGAGAGCCACAGGAAAAGGGAGACTTGGTTACCTCAAGTCTCCATAATGTGACCTCAAGAGGAAGGAGCCTAGGACTGTGGAGGACAGAGCAGGGACTGGGAAGTACTTGGGTTCCGGATGGTAATGCTGAGTCTCAGAATCAACCAAGTGAGAACCTACTTCACCCCTGGACATCCCAGTTCCAGAAGTTGGCAACTGTTTTTTCAGATAGTCTGAGCTGGATTTCCTGTTACTTCTGGTTTAAAAAACACACATGTACTATAATCAATGGACATCTAGTGTCCACTAAGTACTTGGTGCTCAGGAATCATACAATGTACACGGACATTGTCACCTTTATAAACCAGTGGCCGGGTAAGACGCTTGGCCTGTGTCTTTGTTACTTTTCTATTGCTGTTAGAAGATACTGTGACCAAAGCAACTTGTAGAAGAAAAGGATTTGCGGGGCTTGCAGTGTCAGAGGGTCAGAGTCCGTGACCATTAAGGCTGCAGCACTGGAGGCAGGCATGATGCTGGAGGAGAGGCTGAGAGTTTACATCCTTGTCCACAAGCATGAGGGAGAGAGGGAGGAAGGGAGGGAGAGAGGGAGGGAGGGAGGGAGGGAGGGAGGGAGGGAGGGAGGGAGGGCGAGTGAGAGAGCGCTAACAAGGAACGGCTGTGGGCTTCTGAAACCTCAAAGCCCACTCCAGTGAACAACTCTATCAAGGCCACACCTAATCTTTGCTAAGCAGTTCTGCTAACTAGGGACCAAGCACTCAAAGATATGAGCCTATGGGGACATTCTCACTCAAACCACCACAATCCACTCCCTGGACCCCATGGGCTTGTAGCCACAGCACAGTGCAAAATGCAGTTAGTCCAACTTCAAAAGTCCCCACAATCTCTCAGTCTCAAGACTGTTGAAAAAATCCAAAGCCCAACTCTCTTCTGAGACTCAAGGCACTCTCTTAACTGTAACATCCTGTAAAGTCAGTGGCATAGAATATATGGCACATAAACATGACAGCCTGAGTTTGATCTCTGGTGCCCGTTTAAAGGTAGAAAAAAAAAGATGACTCTACAAAGCTGTCCTCTGACCTTCATGGGGTCACTGTGTCATGTGCATCCTTCTCGTCACACACACAATAATGATGATGATGAATTAATAAAGTTTAAACTCAGTGCCCATGTGGCCCAGCTCTACTCTTCGAGCTTACAAAGGGAAAACACATATTTCCTATTAGCCCCTGAATCTACATGCATCCTCTTAACAGTCAAACTAGAAGCTTGGAAGAAGGAAAAGAACATGAACAGGACTGCTTATCAACAAACGATGTCTTTAACGCCTATCAAGGAGCTATTTCCTTGATGCACAGAACAGAAACACCTTAGCTCTAGTGATAATTACGACATGCTACACTTATCATCAACCACACATCTTCCTTCCACTATTTCACAGGTGGGCAATGTTCTCCAGCCCCCAGGGGAAGAGTCCTCCAATGTATCTGTACAAGGCAAGAGAGAAGGACTGTAGTACAAAAATCAATCCTCTGCTTAGCTGGGAAAAGACAGCCCTAGAGCCATGACCAGAAAGCTTGGCATGTGGGGAACAGCAGGGGCCTTCGGGATCCCAAACATTGTTCACTAAAGTCTCACAATGACCATAGGAAAATGCAGCCAGGTTGGGCAATTACCAAGGCTGGTGTGTAGGAGTTTGCCAACAATGGATTAGCCAAACCACGGACTTTGCACTGGAATGCACATGTGCTTGCCAAAGAAAAGCGCAGAGGGCCCTTTTCTCTGCCCTTGTGCAACTGGACAAAGGGTATTCGTGCTGCTCTTATGGTAAGACTTCTTTCCAGTATCTGAGCTCCTTGTCAGTGTTGGTATATTAACATCCAATCATCCTCTATGGATGATCTTAGTTACAGTTCTTTTGTTGTGAAGAGACACCATGGCCAAGGCAATTTATAAAAGGAAGCCTTTAACTGGGGGCTTATTTATACTCTCAGAGGATTTGTTCTAGATCATCATGGTAGCCAGCAAGCAGGCATGGGACTGGAGCAGTGGCTGAGAGTTTACATCTGATCACAGGCAGAAGGTAGAGAGAGAGAGACAGAGAGACAGAGACAGAGACAGAAACAGAGACAGACTGGACCTGGCTTGGCCTTTTGAAACCTTGAAATCCATCCCCAGTGACATACTTCCTCTAACAAGGCCACACCTCCTAGTCCTTCCCAAACAGTTCCACTAACTGGGGACTAAGCATTCAAACATATGTGCTTATGGGGGCCATTTTCATTCAAACCACTCAGGATTATACCAGGACCCAGACAAGTTATAGAAGAAATTTTATTTTTATTTATTTTATCTTATGTGTATGGGTGTTTTGCCTGCATGTATGTCTGTGTACTATGTGCATACAGTGCCCAGAAGGGGGCATCGGATCTCACTGGAACTGCTGTTACAGATGATAAGTGAGTTGCCATGTGGGTGGTGAGAATTGAACCCTGTCCTCTAGAAGAGTGGTCAGTGCTCTTATAACCGCTGAGCCATTTCTCCTGCCCCTTTTATTGATTGATTGATTGATTGGCTGATTGATTGATTGGTAGAACATTTCCTGTGTATCAAGTGAATGATCAAAAAACCATGCCAGCCTGCACAGCTGAAGTGTGTAAAACCCCAACCAAGACCCCTAAAGCTACTGATGCCATGATAAAACCGAGGTCTTCATTATACAACCAGCTATAATGAAACTGATAGCAGGCAGCCCAGGGCAGCTTCCTATTTTAATACTTGGCCCTGCTTACATGCATGGACTCTATGGAATGGCATGGACTACCCACACGCACTGACACGTTCTCTCAACTATGAAACACATTTGTGCTCACAACATTTCAGTACCCTGGAACAGAGCAAGTTGCTTGGCTTGAGTTATGGTTCTGCATGGCTCCTTACACATGACATTGGCAAGGGGACCTGCACAGGGGCAGCACTGACAGTCACCTGAACCAGCTGCAATAGTTCAACACAGTGAGTGCAGGTCTAAAGCCACATGCCAGCCAGTGTGGAAAACAGTGAAGTCAGGAACCGACCCAGAGCTAAGCCGCATTACTTCCGTACATGACTGATCCCATCGACGAAAAGAGCCAGGCAGGCCAGGACCACGCAGCCCCACACCTACCTCCAAACACATGGACATTCTCCTTCAGCACCGTCGTCATCTGGAGCTCCTGAATCTTTGTGCAAAGGCCTTTGGGCAACAGAACGATGATGTCCATATTCTTGGATCCCTGAACACTCTCAATGGCAGCACTTCCCGTGTCCCCAGAAGTTCCTAGGAAGGAGACCGACCCCTCCCTTTAGCACAAGGG